CAGCAGCCCCTGCGCTTACACTTTGCTCCAGCTGTAGGCCTATATTGTGTCTACGGGGTGTGTTGCTGAATACAAACTACCACTGTTAAGGAGGGCAAAAAAAGAAGTGGAGAAGAAAAAAAATACTGGGAAGATGGTGTACCTAATTATGGCTCGTGCTTTTTCATCCCCCCGTTACAACTACAGACGTATCCTTCGAACGGAGACGTGACTCTTCCTGGCCTCCATCCTACTTGAAGATAATCTTTGGACCCTGTGGGATTCTCCTACCTATCCCGTGAGATTGCTCCAGACTGTCATACTCGTTAGAAAGTGCTGCGGATGATTTAATTAAAGGGATGCTGGACCCAGTGCAACCCTTTCTTTCAGATAGAATTGCCGGTCAACGCATCTTTTTTTTTTTTTTTTCGTCACGTGGACAGTAAAAGTCACAGCTGTCGGTGTCATTCGGATACGTGTGCGACGTCAGTTATATTTCTATTAAATCCCGTAGTTTTCGTGACGATTTTTGTTACTTGAGGTTCCTTACTCCTTTCGCTGGTTTATCCACTGGAAACTGTGCTTATATGGCTGTACAGTTTTTCTTGGCTATGGGATTTTACGTAGTTTGACTGTTTTTCTTTTTTTTTTTTCACGTCTCTTTTTCTCTCGACGAAATCGCCTCTAAAGCTTCGCGCGAGACACGTGCAGTTGATAGGTGCTCGCACACCCTATGATACCCGCACTGCCCATCGTCCATTTTGACTTTATTACCGTGGAAACGCTACGTAACGCAGCTGCGGTATTTCCCAATTTTGTCCACCATTCGATGCCACCATTACTTCAGGATTCAGGGAAAACAGACAGAACAGCCTCATTCTAGCGTACCCCATCCTACAACAGGCATAGCCAGCACGCTCCTGCTATGGGGTGCCACGTCCTCACAGAACGGGGAAAGTAATACCTAAACGCTTAGAAGGGATGATTCCCATTAAAACACGTTCCTGAATTTTCGCAATCCTTTCAAAATCCGGCTTTCGAAATCCAAACCGATACGTTCAATCCAGCGTTACCGATAATCCAGGTGATTCAAAATTCATAAAACGTTTCTATATGCAAAATCAATTTTTTTGACAAAATCAAAATTTTCATTAAATAAACAAAATATTTACACTGTACGACTCACAGTAATACATAAATACATATATACACGTATTACTGCACGTAGCAGGAAATTGCGAAACACAATCGTATGTAAAACCAAGTATTTACTTGGTGGAATTTATATTTCCTGTACGAAAACCGTGTCGAATCTGCTAATGAAAGTTTTCCGGAAATTGACCGAAATATATGCGAAAATGCAAAGGAGGTCGAAAGTCTAACCGGTATAGAAATGTACACTGGGACGGTCATGACATGGAGATCGGCTGTAAGGAATATAGAAGGTGTCCATTCCATTTATAAGCATGAGTGAATTTCCGCAAGCACTTTAAAGTTGTGACGAAGGTCTGAGGGAGTTATCCAACGTAGTCTGGTGGAGCGCGCGCCACTGCCATATTGGACGGGTAGCGTTTGCCAGGGGAATGTCGGCCGTCTATTGGTCGAACGGCCATTACGCTCGCGCGGGAACAGGAGGGCCTCCCATGCTGAGAAGGACGCCAAAAGGCGTCCCGACGCCCCACTGAAAACGGCACGCGTCACATCACACGCTTATGGGACTCCCTCCTATTACCCTTTCTCACTCTTCTTCCTCTTTCGCCCTTTCTCTTTATCTCACTCTCTGCTTTCTTTTTCCTCTCCCGTATATTTTTCTTTCATTCTCTTCCTGCCCTCGCTCGTTCTATAGTTCTACCCTTACTCGTCGTTCTATATGACTATCAGCAACCCCCTGGGCAAGTGGAGCCGGATACATTTTAATTTTCCTCGTCCGCTCGAAATAAGACTTTTCTTTTATTCACCCCTTACCCCGTGGAAGAGTTGAAATTTTTAATCAACACATCTACGGTTATTAAATTACCGAGAATAATTAAAATGCTGCCGCTATGCTGATCGATAGGAATGATAATTATATTTTATGTATACCATTGCCAAGATACGGTTAATATTGTCCAAGTGTATAAAGAGTGAATGGACTTTTTCAAAATTGTTTTCATAATTTCTTTTTTTACGAAGATAAAATTTTAATAGAAGTTTAACAGGCGTATCTATCTGAATAAAAATTTTTTATTCATTTAATAATTAGTCGCAGCTTGCCATATTAATTGGTTGATAGCGATATGCTAGAATAATTATATGCAGTTCATCCTGATCATAACAAAAAAAATCGATGACATTCTGTCTCGTGCTCCTGGGCTGTAAAATACTGATTGATTTTATTGGCAGTAAATTTACACCGAGCACCATTTGTATTGGTAGTTAAACAATAGGCGTGTCTATGTAATACCTTATAACGCCCGACAATCGCGTGGCAGTTCCGTTTGGTCTTTTTGAAAAATCGTAATTCGATATAAATCCGCTCCTTCCATCACTCCGTAGGAAATCACTAGGGCCATAAATATCAGCCTATTACTAACGCCTGCGGCCTTATCCAGATCGAACGTTAAAGTCACTTGAACGACAGTAAACGTTGCCGCTTGGTCGCGCTTTTGCGCCTTTGGGTCAAGTGTACCTCTTGTTAGGTTAGTACGAAAATTTTGTATACTCGATCAGCCTCCGTTATAATAAATCATTATGGATCACAATATCACCGAAAATTCCCTAGGCCAGAAAAGTCACCAATCTCGCAAGCCATACGTACCCCGTGTACATGCAAGGGTGTCAAGATAAAATATTCAACCCCTAGAACATTTATGTGCTTCGAAAGCCAACAAAAAATATAATTGGAACTCTCTAATGGTAGTTTCTTTTTGTCAACCCTACTTCTATTTGTACTGAGAAAATAAAATAAAGAACTCAGGGTGCACGGAAGCTTGAAATCAAAATTTTCATCTCATTCGCTAACCAGGATCTTTCCCCCCTTTGGGTTTGGCCCGCCTAGCGTGAATGATAAATGGCGCCTAAGGGGTCTTTTTTCCTTTTTGAATACTCTGTAAGACGTTGACTATCCCTTGTGGTGGGACTGTATAGTCGGCACCCTTATTCTTGGGTAGGGTGGAAGGGATGCAAGAGCTTTCTCATGTCCACCTAAAGCGCACCCTCGACCAACCTCCGCTTACCACCACGTCCATATTGGTAGAATCTTACGATTTCTTCAGGTTTTTGAAAACAATTTACCACGCGATAGATACTGTAAACGAATGCACTGTCATTTGCAACCTCATTCGTTTTCATTGACGAACGCTTCGTTCGATAAAATCGATTTATTTCTTATCAAATAAATCCTCATTTATTTGATAAGAAATAAACAAAAAATATAATTTTTGTAAAAACGAAGTAAAATAAATGTTTTAAATTTTTTCAATCTTTTTATTTTTTTTCCCCTATACTTTCCAGCGAATAGAAAATTTTCCAATTTCTCGATATCAACATGATACATCTTCCCTCCGGAAACGCTATCTCGTCTGATCTTTTACTTGAGTCAAGCATCTTCTCGTAACATTTTGGTTCCGCACGGTAAAGTTACTCCCTCAAGATTTGCTCTGGCATCCCTTATATTCCCTGTATCCAGTTTCAGCACCTCCCGCCATTCCTTGGATCCTATCGTACAACGCATTCCATTCGGTTTACTGTGAAATGCCTAGAACGTGCTTTGTGTCTTTTAAATGGAGATAGACTGCATTACTCGGATGCATGTTGGATATGTATATTTAATTTTTGAATCTCTTTTAACTCTATATATAAACTTCTATTTTTTTTTTTTATAAGAATTCCAATTTTTACAGCAACACCTTTCCGGCATAAACGTTAGGTAAAATCAATGCGATCAAGTTTGTGATATATGATAAGAAGTGGAGTCTCGTTATGGAGTAGCGTCCATTAACGACCTATACAAGCTATGGAACTTTATACCTGGTGCGACATAAACCACTAACCCCATATAAAAGTCATGGTGACACAACCTATTATGAAGGCTCTATTGGTGAACAGGCCATTTAATTTCTGTTTCCGATTTCTTTTCAGGCTGAGGTTTTTTCTTCTCAACTTGTAAATAAAAGGCCTCAAAGTGTTCGGCGCCGTGGAGAAAACGTTTCACCCTTTCGAGCTGTGCAGCAGGTGAGCTTTCAAAATGTTCTATTACCCAAATTTTACATTTTATCCTCGTATTATTTTTTTACGGGCTTTAACTTGAAACTCGAAAAAAAAAAAGTAATAGAGAAATTTTCCATCCTAATTCCGGAAACAGCAATGGCGGCGACGGTTCGCTTATCCGCCCTGAATATTAGGCTTCTCTTTGTATTATTACTATCCCAAATAGTATTTCGGGCGCGGAGGCGTGTACACATGGGTGTATATCCGCGTTAAGGGTGAATATTTCTAATATGTCGTGGAAACGTGCCTTAGCTCCCTTTCTCGCGGATTACCCTTGTTACCATTTAGAGTCGGGCTGCTTGCTGACTTTAGCATTTTATTGCCATCGAAGACGAATGGCGTCGCACTTAAACTAATGCCTCACGCCGAAACTATGGCTAGCAGTTAACAGCCAGTTACACTAGTTTCATTGTCACGTAACTTCATATGGTAATTCTTAGCAATTATGTCATTTAAATAAAAAATTGAGTAACTTGCAGAATTAATATTTTGAAAATTTATTTTTAAAAATATATTTAATTGCTCTCGTGATACCGGCTATTCTCAGACCATGGGTATGGAATGATTATGTAATATTATATTAAAAATTATTGAAAAAAAAAAATGATCGACTTTTCATATGAATCAGTTATTTGCTTATCAGAAACATTAAACCTGACGTTTACGAGATGTTTTGGGTCGAGTATGATGTTGGCTGACGCAGTGTTTGCTAATGTTTCAGGCTCTCCCGTGTGTTCCCGCCCGCAACCCTGGCCGGTATACAAGGTGAGTCGGCCCATAAAGCTGACCGTTTGTTAATAAATGGCTCTATTAAGCTAATTACATCCCTTATTAACATCTTAGGAAATTGTAACATTGTTAAAGGATATTTATAGTTCGTTCACGAATAAAATTCATTTTCGAGGGGCCATCTAGCCTGTAGGTTGTCAATATACATGAGTCCCCTAGGCTTTTTATTTTACTCGTGAATCTACTGTATCAATTTATAATTATAAGTAGCACGTCTCAAATTAATGAAAACTATCGGAATACAAATAACATAAGTAGAAGGCATGGACACTTGGCAATGTAATAAAATTTACGAACATGATTTTTTCTTAAAACGCTTTGGTACGATACTTCGACGTTATTCTTATAATAATCCACAAAAACGTTGTTAGATTTTCTTAACTTTCATCGTCAATGGACCTCAGGCGTATCATACACCCCTTTTTTATATCCGTTGAAATCCGCAAAAACCAATAGTTAATAATAGTTTAATGCAATTTCGTACTTTCCACTCGGCACCATTATTGCTATCCATCACCACGGCATATCGATTCTATATTACTGCCACTCATTACATTCACCAGTTTAAGTATTCGCAAGCATACGGAGCGTGGAAGCCGTGCGTTATTATTACACGGAAAATTATACAACGCGCCAAGAGTTAACCTGCCAAGGATAGTGATCGAGGATGCTCATTAAAAAAAAAATAAGCGAAACAATAATTATCATGTTTAACCTTTGGGACTTAAATTTAATATACGAGCTGGAATCTATTGACCCATATTAAAAGAATCCGAAGGAAAAAACTGAGTATTCCTAGAGATATCTCCTCCTCCCCTTTTTTTTCTTTCCTTCTATTAAGAGAATTCTAAGAATTTTACTCAAGATCATTCCGTACCCCAGTTTAAAGGCATCCCGTTACTGGCGCCCTCTCACAAAGTTTCCCAGATCGTGTATTTTTCTTGTCACGACCAACACGACAGTGGATTCTGCCATACATAGACAAGTCTCGTTAACACTGCCGCGCGTCAATCTCCGCTTGGCCGTTCGTTGCGCATACAAATGGTATTTCTTCAGAAACGAAGTCCTCGGTTTCCGGTAGCCGCATCAAAAATGGCCTTCGAGAAGTTATTTGAGTTTTGAACCTTCAGTTCAGGTCCAATAGGATCCTTTAGGGTCTGTAAAAAAAAAAGGACGTCTTGTCAAGGAAAGATCTTCATTTTCTTTTACGTGGTCAACTATAGATAATATACATGCGGACCGATAAGATAAGATCTTGATGTGAATCTTGAATGTTTTTATCGTTGAAACAAATCATTAAGTCAATTTGCCTTTAATTAATTCATCCCGAAACGTCAAATTGGAGTTGGCAGTAAATGTTGTTATGTCGTCATTAAAAGCGATGTACGTGTACAGGTAACATGTTCTTTTAACGTGTTACCCATACAGTAGGTAATACGGGGGTTCCGGGTTGTTAACTACAAATTTCATTACGCTTCTCCGAGATCGTATCGATCGTTAACAAGTCACGGAGACTTCATTAATTTATTATTAATATAGATATTTTTTAATGTTCGGAATGGTATAACGCGATACAGACCTAACGGTAACGTGATATATTCAGTAAACAGATCGGTATAAGGGATTTTTGGATTTGGAATTACTATCAAGATATCCTGTTCATATTTCGAATAATCTAGTCTGTACAGTAAGTTAACATTGATAACTTGGAATTACGGTATCTTAATTAATGGGAGATCAAGGATGCATAATCATAAAAGCATGGTTGTGCAGGTTGGTTGAAATTAATATAATCAGCCTATGAATACGTACATTAATGACTGCTATAGTCATGATTAATTAGTAAACTTGTATATTAATACGACTTTACCAACCAGTCGATTCCGTTAAATCTCTTAAAGATTCTTTAATATAAAAATGCAAATTATCCTTATTTTTATTCAACTTGCAGATATAATGCAAATAAAATTAAAATACGTATAGTGGGAAACGTGCAAAGTAAATTTGTAGAATATATTTTGAATATTTCCAAAAAATTACCATATACAAGCTTCTCACGCTACCGTAGTACGCTCACCCAAAAATTGTCCAATAGGTCAAAATAGTTTCAGAATCCAATTATAAATTCCCATACAAACTATGAAACGTAGCAAATACAACTTTGCCAATCGTCCAACTTATTCCCATTGAGCAATGCAGTTATTTTCTCACAATCATAAGAGAGAATGCGTAAATGTGCGTGATAGTAAAACCCGCAGCTACTAAATTCAGCCAAGTACCTATAGGTAGTAGTATCGCTATAAAGTCCATTCATGATCGCGCTGGTAGCCATAGAACAAGCACAGCGTACTCGTGCACCTAGTTAAAGTTATTACTTGACTATACAACACGTGCTATATACAGTGAAGTAATAGTAAGTGTAGTACTACAGCGATGTAAGAAAATAGAGAGTAAAAATAATCATGTAGAATCAATAAGAACATGACTCGTTACGCCCCTGAATTGAGGTACCTCTTACCAGTATGCCCAAACTGAATTGTTGTCATTATCCTTACGTCAGCAATTACCGATAGACCGGTAGGACTAGGGTCTACGCATCGCACAGCGTATGCGGCGATCGCGACGAAGGCGTGCAGCCGAAGTTGTTGTCAGAACGTTTTACTTTACTGCCCATAAAAGTACCGAGATTTAGACTGCAATACAGCCATGACGTATTGCCCTTGTATACGATCCTCGTCGTATCCGCCTTTGCCATGAGGCACGAGTCGTGAAAGGAGTAGCTGCAAAAGAGGAAGGAGACTATAGGATACAACAGATGATTGGAGGTTTGCGTAAAAGAATCTTATTTATAAATAGTTTAAAAGTATCACGAAAATAGATGAAATAGTGAGTCTCTAATAATTACAGTCGATCCTAGACTATTAAATATAGTTCAGGTTAGAAAGCGTGTAGAATACCAAGAAAACAATTACTTCTACGTCTATGCGCAAAATAGTCATCTAAGATAACTAACGAATCATCCGAGACAAGTACCTTCTAGAAATTATCTTGGGATGAAATATTAATGTATAGGTTACCTTCCAATGGCTATCATCATCCTTCTACGACTTAAGTAATCCGACGCCTAGTATTCGTCACGAGTACTAAATTTCAGAGAATATGACAAGCGTAGTTACAGTCCAGGTAGAAAGCGGAGTACGCGGTAGCTAAACTGTACGATGCACGAAATAAAGCACAGCGATTTTCTGGAGTTTCTCAAAATCAAGTAGATTCGAGATCACATAGTTCCTCGCGACATCGTAAGATAGTAGGAGGTTGCGTCGGTTTGTTTGTGTCTGGCATAGTACAACGGGTGGGGGTGTATAGTTATGGTAGCCCCAGGGGCAACACGGGACAGAGAGGGAAGGTTAGTTCACGGAACTGCCGAGAGATCGCTCCGGCGTCGTTGTTAGCTCGTCGGCTCCGAGCCGCGGACAGAGCTCAGTTGCCGCTCAGTTCGGCTCAGCGAGGCCAACGAGAAGAAAGGGGGATCTTTTGTGTGTGTGTCTCGCATTGTTCCGTAGAAGCTGACTACCTGACCCGACCCCACTGACAAACATCCTAATCGTGCTGCGATCATCATCGGTCCAAAGAGGGAAGGGATACCCTGGAAAAAAAGCGTTTGAAAAAAAAGGATCTGACTGCGGAAGAATAAAGACGGAGTGAAAATAGGACATCGAGGAAGGAGCCCGACTACGAACGATCCCTAAGTCACTTCGCGTGGTCTGCATTGACAGATATAAACTCGTGTTGTAAACGGCGCGCGCTCTGTATGAATCTCTCTGTCTCTCTCTGGCTGCTGCTGTATACATATATATGTATATGTGTGTGTATATATATATCTCTCTCTTTCTCTCTCGTAACGATGTATGGTAGTAACTAAGCAGGCGTATATGAGATAAACACGAGATTCAGGAAGAAAGTGTATAGATATAAAAGCAAAAGAAAGTGTAAGAAACCCGTGTATATACGATGTTTGGTGCGTCGTCGTATATATTTTAATATATAAAAAGGAGTGCAAGAGTTATGCTCAGGGTGACAGTTTTATTGGAGCAGGTGACATGCCGGCCGGACATGGTTTACTGGACGGTGTCTGCGCTAGTTATGTGTGCGTGGAAGCATTAGGCCGTTTTAAAGACAGAAATTGCCAAGTGTCTATGCGGCTGTGAGAATTCGCATGGGAACGACAATAAGTACTTGTGGAATACATTGACTGTACTAGATATTAGACTTGTCTGTCAAGAAGTTTGACGATTTCGAATGTGTGGTTTTTACTTGTTACGTGTGACACGAGTCTAAAGTGTTCCGTGTCTCTTTTTTTCTGTTTCAACGCATCTCGTCGCTGGATCCCAACGGATTACTTGGACATTAAAAATCTTGGATCGGACATCGTCGTTCCTTTTTTACTGGGATATATATTCCTTGGGTACGAATATTACTTGGATCATTATCACCGTGATCGCCACGCCAATTATCAACGTCATTTGGATGTACTTGAATCACGTGGTGTCGCGTCGTCGCCTCGTGGATACAATTTTTTTTGGATTCTCATCTTTACCCACTCAACGATTCCGTCGTCATCATCGGTACTTACGATTATATTTCTGTCTGCTGCTCTCTTTATCTTTATCCCACTGACGTCCACCTGACCCTCTGCTCTGTTCACCCCTCCACCTGTCTGCCGCGCCGCCACAAACCCTCCTCACTCTATCCCCTCCTGGCTCACTACACCACTACTCTTCCCTTACTCAACGGCCCGCTTTCTTCGGTCGCTCCGCTCTATCATCCTTTTCTGCTCTATCGTACCGCACATTCGGTCCCTATTTCGTGCACGCGTTCCCTCTGTTTACTATTTTTATCCGAACGTCATCATTGGTACCGTGATCGTTATTGGGATCGTTACCGCTATCTTACCAACGTCGTGGATCGTAATGATTGCAATTGCCTGAAATCATTGTCATCTGGATCAACTCCGCGGATCGCTAATAAAAAAACGCAAACGGCCGCAATCGTTATAATTCCAACGATTCATCCTCGCTATCTGCACCATCGCCGATCACGTGGCTTGCTCGACGGCGACGCTGTACGACAATGTGCACGCCGCACCGCTATGCGGTTCCGGCGTGGGCCACCCTGGTTCCGTCACGCCGATGGGATCAGCCACCGGAGCGGGGAATTCCACCGGGGTGACCTGGTGGGCCATGATGAACGGCACCCTCTACGAGGACAGCCCCCCACCCGTACCCCCGACCTCATCGCTCGTATCGATCCAACAACAACAGCAACAAACCTCCAACTCAGGATCTCATCAACAAGCCACGAGTCCCACGTCTCCTGGAGCACCGACGTCAGCAACGACAGCACCGCCAGCACCTACAGCCAGCGCGAGCTCGACCTCGCCGAGCGCCTCCTCGGTCGCGAGCAACAGCGCGGCTGGTCCACTTCACATACCGGCGAAAAGGTTGACCGGTACACCTGCCGGTGGTTCGACCTACGGCGAAGTTCCTTGCGTAGAACCGTCCGGGGCGCCAGGTGGTGCCGCAGGAGTCATTCGACACTCGCACTCCTCGTCAGCGGGGTCCCAGGGCGGTTGGAGTTACAGTCCACATCATCCGCAGGACGCCCATTACTCCTCCTCTGCCGGAGCCACAGCGGATTCGCTCAATCATCATCAGGCTTACGGGGGTACTAACCCCCCTACGTATTACAACCTGGCTGCGGATCCTACCTCGACTTCCGGCTCGTCCAGGGACAGCCGGAAGGCCGGTGCCACTCTGAGCTTCTGGTCGCCTGCTGCCGCCACGGCGGGATCCGCGGCTGCCGCTGGTGCCACGTCTGATTACAAGTCGTATAATTCCGGTGGGGCCGCCACAACGACCTCCTCTACAGGAGGCTCATCCTCCGGGGCTGGGGATCCCGCCGTCTCATCCTGCCATCAGAGCTTCTCGCAGAGCTGGTGCAATTACTCACCTTATACCACCGCCAGGCATCATCATCCGGTCGATACGGCTGGTCATCATCATCCCCATTCTCAGGCGGGGGTACCGTACCTGACGCCATCTGCGGCTGATGACCGGGGGAGGGTTGCTGCCGCGATGGTTGCCGCTGAAAGTGCTTTCCCTCATGATGGATATGGTGGACTTAGGAATTATGGAGCGCCTGAGCCCGTTACGTCCAGTCCATATCCACCTCCAGGTAAGGATCAATTCTAGCTCTATTTTAACCTATCCTATCGTCATCAAAAAAAAACATCACTTTCAACTCTTCATTCATACACAATCACTTATAGCAACAATCTCAATTTCACACTACCGTACGGTTTCCCTTTTCTCACTTGTATACATTCGGGCCTGGCTTGTAATCACTTGGCTGGGGTGAACGATCCCTTCGGAGTCGGTTGACGACGCGCGACCGTTCATATAACAGGTCAGGGTCGTGAGGATGGTGTGGTGTCGCGCGGCACCCATGCCACGCCGTACACTACTCTCCCCAGGGACAAGAGCCTGGGACAATGCGCCGCCACTGTCGTAAATTTGAGAACTCTCCCCGTAGCTAAATGAATATAGGAATACGCATCAGGTACGGATCAATAATACGGGCAACTATCGAAAATAAAACACATCTGTCTTACGCGAGTCACGAGATTCACGTGTTTGGCATATGAAAGCACGCGTATTTCACTCCTGCATATGTCCTACATATTACATATGTACGCTTCTTATACTTCAATAAGCCTCCCACGACGTAGAAATGATATATTCCCTCGCAATAACCCATATGTAAATACAACAGGAGTTACTGTTTATACACGACAAATCTATGCCGTGTCGTGACATCTGTGTAAATTTTTCGTTTAATTAGAAAAAATCAAACTTTATATAAATATTCATATATTTTATATACTCTTTTACTACAGTGCTCTGGTATATCAAAAATTTTGAAAGATTCAATTTAAATCTAGACTTCACGTCCCAACCAATGGGGGATCAGATACGAATACCTCACTAAATAAAATGAGGGATCCAATCGGCAGGACTAGCAATGCCAAGTTCCTCGCTGAAAGTACGAGTCATCGTTCATTCATATACATGTATGTAGGTGGTTGGGCCTCCGATCGTCGTTCCCTGTAAAACGTCGTCGCGCAAAGCAACGACGAGCGGCTCTGCCGTTGATGGTGGCGGTGGGTTTATTGGCGGCCGTAACTCGTAAACTCTGGCGCGCGCCTCCGATCAGCTGATCCGTTCCATGACCCGTACGGCACTCGGTCTTCCAACGGCCATTACCGACCTTATCTTTGGTCCTTTCGTTGTCATTTCTTCGCTACACTTCGATTGGCTCTTGTGGGTTTCAAGAGTATTTCGGTCTTTCTTTGTAAGTTAAAGCTGAACAAGGATGGGAACGTTACTAGGCCGATATAACATTTTTCTGCATCGGTTTTGATTGATAAATTAATTGTAATTTTACGGAATGATTTATCTTTGTAGGAATTTATGCGAAATTTTTAGTTTGGAAATAATTTGAACATTTTTATTTCTTGCCGTTCAATGCAGATCAAATTTTCATATTTCTTATTGAGGTTCGATAGAAGAGGATTGATAGACGATTGAGCTTTAAGAGATCTTCGGTGTTATCGTGTGACCCCTTTTCTCTCTTAGAACTTACAGAAATTCAATTTGTGAATTGATAATTGATCCCGGCCGACATTGCTCTCTGCCACTACCATAAAAGATATTTAATTCGTTTGTCGCTGAATTCAAATGGTAGAGAGTGTCATATCTATCTCTATCTTAGGACTGACGCACGTAGTACGCTGTTTAGTTTTTTTTTTTTTTTTTTTTTTTTTTTTTTTTTTTTTTTTTTTTTTTTTTCTTGAATAGAAGGAATAAGCAAGAAAATACATACGAGCCTTCTCCACATAATGACAAAATTTTTGTCCATAGATGAACTGACGGAAGATAGAGTGAACTGTCCATAGAGCGAACAATAGAACATGCTCAAGTTTTCGTCAAATCAAACAACTTCCGATGAGTGTTCAATCGAAAAGTAAAAAATAAATGAAAATTGTTCAAGAAAATTCATGAGAGTTTCGCCTTCGTTTTATTAGAATTTTAAATCGCAATAATACAACAGTCTCAGCCTAATCACCAGCTGTTACTATCAGTTTCTCACATTTTCCATCTTTCTATCAAACTGTCACACAACTCATTCGATTTAAAGTATCTCCTTTTAATTAGCGCCATTTCGATTACGGAATTGCATATATTAGCCAGATCCAGTCGCGCTTAAATTCTAACCCGTCGTGTAGGCAGATTCGCCTCTCGAGCGTACATCTTACATACAAAGTAGCAGCTACGCGCCATCGATGCTTTTCTCGCTCGCCAACAGATGGCAGCTGTATTATCTTTAGCCGTGCATTCGACGAAGGGAAACTCGTCGTCGCGTCACAACCTTATAGCAGTCTCTCGTACAATCTCGTCGAGTTACGATGCTCCCCCACCATGAACGATCCCATTCACTGTCATAATATGGATTTCAATGTAGCAGAAACAGAGTCCGGGACTCGTGCTCGAGTTGGAAGCGGGATAATGAAAGTAGAAGAAAACAATAATGAATTACACTTGTACAGTTTTTCTTATCATTGATAACAAAATTTATATCCATATTCAGAGTAGATCTTTTAGGATACAAATATTTTACTTTACACTTTTTCTCCTAGAATTTATGTTATCGTTGATTAATAATAAAAGGGTTAAAAGATGACAATTAACTTTTAACGCTAATTTTTTTTTTATCTTACTAGACACATTGGCGTGTATGGAGATAATTTGAATATTTCCCTTGAGGTTGATTTTTGTTTTTTTAGATAGGGGTAAAGTGCGAAACGATTAATAATGCTACAAGAGGGTTTAGTCGTAAATCCAGGATACGTAATGCTGATGGCATTGACTTTTCCCCTAAATTGGGGTTACTCTGTCCCAACACGCGACCGTCTCCTGCCTGTGTAAACTATTCGTATGCTGTTTCACGTCTACCGTCGTAGCTAACTCTACTGGTGTAGTCGTAGCAATCCCGTATACAGTGGATCAACTCGTATCGGAGTAGCACATGAGAGTTCTTTCTGCGCATCAGTGTTATTATAAAACTTGAAAAACAAAAACGTTGATACATGGAGGAATGACAAGGTCGATTAGTGATAATTAAAATTCGAAAAAGAGTCATTAGTGCCGTTTATTCAATTTCGAAACAGTATATGATATCGATAGTGTTAAATATTCTCTTATATAAAAATTCCCGCCGATTACGCTTAGCATGTTCAGACACTGAGACTCCTCTAATTATAAATATTTTTTGATATTTTTTATCGGTTTAAACGCTCGAAACGTATCGTGCTGTGAAATTTTTTTTTAAAATTCGTATAAAGATAAAAGAAGACAGACTGGTCAAAAAGGAGAGTCCTAATTGATTCATCACTCAATCCAAATGTTCGCGTACCTCCATTGGCGTATTGCGGCTTCTATAATCATACGAATCCTGACCTTCGTCAAATAATTTACATATTTTCACGTTTTAGTGGGCAATAAATTCACGTCAGTTAGGCAATCGCGAGCGACCTAAGAGGATGAGAATCGCAGGGCGACCGAGAGAAAGTTTTTATTCGCTCTTATAAAGTGTCTACATATTTGTAATTCTCGCCTGTGCAATGTTTTAGTCGAATGAGAATGCGACGGGATACGTATAACGTGGGCGAATAGCTTAATATCTACTTGTATATATTCTCGACTCGATACTGGATCAAATTGACTCGCCTTTCTTAAAAGAGCCGTAGCAGGAACTACTAACCGTGCTGCAAAAAATACACCCACGGACTGCGTCCCTTCGTACGGTTAGTAGAAACCGGTCCAATTATATCGTACCGCTTTGCTGGCAACTCTGTGTATACCTATGCGTATGCACGAGTGCAGATCCTTTAGGTTTTGGTCGTGGACAGATACATTTGAATTTTCATGACGGGAGGCATTAGGGATAAATTGAGGAGTTTATTGAAGGTGGTAAAATCGCATTTTGGAATTATTGTTAATTGGAAAATATAAAAAAAGAAACTTTAGACTGTTGATTTGGAAAGGACAGTTTTGAATTTGGTTTATGGTTGGAAAATTTTTGGATAATTTTACAGCAGATAAATTTATTTTTCATTATCAGCTGTTTTCTGCTTGTAAATACCTATTGGTTTTGGGATATGATTTAGAACGACACGATTACAGTTTAACGCTATTAATTATATCACTGACGCAGAAAAGTCAGTACAAAATAACTACAAATACCAAGCTATTAAACACATGTTTCACTGAACTTATAATTATTTAATACGGAATTAATAGATTGCAATTTGCATTATTTAAATACGTATATACCATTACACGCTGGACGTAGTATCGATGTTAACCAATTATCATTATCGATAGGATGCACTTGAAATTAAATTAAAAAATATTTGAAATTTTTTTCTTGTTCCGAAACGTACCCTTCGTCCACACATTACACTATGAGGAAGCAAATTTTATATCAGATATTAATTGCCTAATTGAACCCACGAATACCTACACATATTAATTCACGATACATGAAATATCTAAATATAAGTTTAGTCTTAGATAATATTATCTAGCAATATTCTCAATGTCAGAGGCAAACTAATTGTGTTAAGTGATGTGGGGTTCCTCCCCATCTTCGTTGTTTCCTGCAGGTTCCCTCGCGGGCGTCGGCGTGGGTGTCGGCGTCGCGGGGATGGGCGTCGGTTGCGGCAGTTCGAATCCCTTGGAATGGACGGGCCAGGTGACAGTGAGGAAGAAACGCAAGCCCTACTCGAAGTACCAGACCCTAGAGCTAGAGAAGGAGTTCCTCTTCAACGCCTACGTCTCAAAGCAAAAGCGATGGGAATTGGCGCGCAATTTGAATCTGACAGAGCGCCAGGTAAAGATCTGGTTCCAGAATCGACGAATGAAGAACAAGAAGAATAGCCAGCGTCAGTCTCAGCAGCAGAACAACAACAACAACAGCAATGCGAATAACGCCAATCATCATGGAGCCACAGGCAGTCATCATCATCCCGGAAGTGGCCACGGACCCTCGAGTCACCACGTGGTCGCGCAGGCGCACCACGCGAACGGTGCGACCAAGCATCATCAGTGACCCGTGGCCTTCTCTGGGGTCGTCTTCGGCCACCATCCCCATACCTCATCCATCCATGGGGGCAGCCATAGCCTGTCCGTAGGCCACAGCCATAGCCTCCACGCTCCCCAGCCTCAGCTGACCACGCCGCTGCCCCATGCGACAGCCACCCCAGGTCCCATACACGCATCGCATACGCATTCTTCTCATCAGCTGACGCACGCGGCTCAGCAACATACCGCACTACTTCATCAGACACCCCATGGCTTGGCTGTCTGAGCGCAATTTCCGGGACTCGTCTGACTACCCCAGAGAAAAGCCTCTGTCGCCGTACAATTACAAAGGGACATTGGTACCAGCATCTTCTCAACCCAGGATTCGACTTGGAAGAGTGAAGCGAGATAATGATGAAGAAGCGGAAGTACATAGAACCCCTGTTCTGGATCCGTGAACGGCGAACTTTTAAAGACGTGCCGTGATCAGGAGTTCGGGCGCGAGATACTCGGCCCACGTCGAGCTATAGTATATACATATAAATAATAGGTGAAACCGCGAAGCAGAAGATCCGAGGAAGAAACAGAGAGACTTGTATAGAGTGTGCGTGAGTGTGCGTGCGTGCGTAGGTCGTGCGTTGGCCACTACGATCCGAGGAGTTTAGCCGAACTAGAGGAAAAATGTTGTGCCGACTTTGGAGACTCCAGGAGAGAAGGAAAGTGCGCGCCACCACGCTGAGCAATCTGTCCAGCCCGTAATACGATAGTATTCCTCCAATTATACTATAATGCATTATTAGTGTCACTTAGTGTTTTTTCTTAACCCTCGTGTATTTACTTTAAAGCGCGCTGCGATCAGCCCCGTGCACTCGCGCCAGAGGTACTATGGACGGATACTTAGAGAAAATTTGCGCGGGGCTAGTTACTTAACTGCGCTCCTGCTATTTGTGATTACATAGCGAAAAGACAATTTGGCTGAGCGAAAGGTCCTTCGTTTTTGAAAAACGAAGACAATGGGTAAGGCCAAATTTTTGGAAGAAATTCTTCCAATACTTTCACCAAATCAATTATTATAAATATATAGATTCTATGCATATAAGAATATATTACCAGTGATAATCCCAGTGATAAGCTCCCTAAGGATAGTTAAACGTATTAAAAAGAATTTTTCGCTTAATAAAAAAAAAAAAATGAATAAAAGGGAATTTTGCGAAGAATACGAGTATCCGAACCACGCGACGATCTCTCCAAAATTTTCTCCTACCTATCCGACCCTATAGAGAACAGTCACTGCATCCTAAAAAGTGTCTCTTCTCGTTGCTCAGCCAAATACAGTGCAAACGCAATAGCACCGAGTCGCGAGATAAGTAAGGAGATAGTGTAAAACATGCGAGTAAAAAAAAATGCGAAAAAAGAAAAGAAAAGAATCATCCCCAAAAGAATTCTTTATAAACGGTCATCTCCAACAAAAAAAAATGTCGTACTCATCGCCTACCAAGGATCGCAACAATCGTACCTATGATTCAATAATTGTATGTAACCAATTTTAGATTAAACGTACTCACAGTCATTATACCGAGTGGCGCGTAGTCGTTCACTCGAACGTGTCCCGCCATCATGTACTCTATCCCACCAGCAACTAAATCGGTGCATTTGCGAACTGACTCGCGAACATGAAAAAAAAAGGTACTTAAAGGACGAAGACACTGCAACAGTGTAATACGTCATTGTCAATCATGGCAGTGGATAACAAGAAAGAGCCAGCGAGTCTGCTAGTTAGAAAGTATTCGGTCGAAGGACTGACAGTGTCCAAGACACTTAGATTTTTGACCGATTTGAAAGAAAAAAAAAAACATAAAATGAAATTATATGGAAAAGTTCAGCAACGTCCAAAGGTGTCAACAGCCAGCATTTACTAAGGGATGTTCAGTCTGTTGGTAATCAACTCATTCGAATGTGAAGCGAATTTGTCACTACGCGGTTCTCTCGTCTCTCTCCATCTCCTGAGATCTTGACCGGATGACGTAAGGGACCTGTCGAGCCGTTTTAATTGACCCTTCAATGTCAGGTCCTTCAACCCTTTGCATTGCTATGAGTGATACGGACTGCGCGACGTGTGTACAGTCCGAGTAGAAGTGCCACGGGACGACAGCAAGAAACGCATAAATGGATTCTGCGTGCGCGGATGCAGAGCAGCGCGGTGGAAATGGTAATCAATGATCGATACGAGAAACGGAGTAGATAGAGCGTTAGGAAGCATTAGAAGAGTTTAGAGGGATCTACTTGTGTATTTAACCTGTGAAACTGGGTTCGGACAACTGTATAGTTCTGCCACGGTACTATAATAGTTATTATGTAACGACGATAATATAATACAGTATGAGTAACAAAAGTAAAAGAACTTAAAGGTTAAGGATAAATGAAATTTTAATTGAAAAATCATGGATGCCGGTCGCGACCCAGTCACCGCGTCAGCTAAGCTTCGCAGCAGAAAAGTTGTAATTAGTAATAATTATTATATCGATGACGATGTTTATTAAGATTATTAAGATTATTATTATTATATTATATTATATTATATATTATTATTATTATTATCATTATTATTATTATTATTATTGTGAGCGTCACGTTAATATTATGTTATTGTTTTTATTGTGTGTTGTTTTGTATGTACCAATCAGCCTATAATAATATTATTATGACGATGATGATAAAAAAAAAAGAACGATCCAACTGATAAAGAACAAAATGAAAATGGTGTTATTAAATGTGTATATTATCACGATCAGCTGCTGTAGATATGTTCCGACGATACAGTTCTCAGTACTATACCAACTCCCTTAACCCCTCAAAGTGCGCGCGAGAATCGTCCATCCTTCGCAGTCACTATCACCTTATTTATGAATCCTGGGTATGGCTTGTTATGGAATTCATGAATTCATCTCTCCTCGAAGCGAAGTCTTGACTTTTATTTCTATCGTTCTTAGAATCCATGCGCAGCTGCATTATCGAGACTGTACTCGCATACGTTGCACTCATTGTAGGATTGCTATTTTAGAACTGCAAGAATATTTTAAGGGAGTAAACCCTCTAGATACGAATTTAAAGAAATGACTGGATGAAAGTGAGCTAGGCCTCGTTTGTGGAAATATTTAATTGCCTCCTGCCGCGTACCGTAAAGTGCATACTGAATAAAAATCTGCACATGTGCAAATGTACGCATACAGAGTGGAAATATATGGATATTAAAAAAACGGTCGATAGAATAGATTGGCAGCAGAGATTTTTTTGTTTCGCTCTTGGTTCATTGTTACTACTTTTTTTTTTTTGTATTAATCAGTCAATTCTACTTGGACCCATTGGACGTTTTTCATTGTGGTTTCGTTAATATTGAAATTTCAGAATGGTTTTACGATCGATTTGACATTTTTCGTCGGTTTAATAATACTTGATATTCATCTGTTCTTGAATGATTGTAATTTATTTGTTTGTTTTTTTTTTTGATTAGTACGAATGGAAAAATTAATTTTTTTATTTATCGTTATTGTTATATTTTTAATACTTTCAAGGAATTCATTTGTATTTCTTGCGTACACATAATTATAGCAAAATTCGCGTCATCGTTAACGGCTTCACTTTACGATGATATTCTTCGTGTTACGTGAATTTGTGATTTATGCGATCGGTTATGGAATTTTGATAAAGCTACTTCGAATGGGAAACTTCAATTAATGAAATATTAAGTAACTTTATCCGATAGACAGACTAACGAAATCATGACTGATAAATATTTCGCATTCATATATCTGACTAAAGTCTTCGACGGGTTTCTATAGCGAATCGCACGATTTACACGTGTAGTTAACAAAAATTATTTATGAACAACACACAAGGATTAATGTCAATTTTTTAAATGACAAATGGTAAACACTTACGAGATTGATGGTATCTTAGTACCTACCTATTACTATAAAAAATTCCTTTACTCAATCGTGACTCTCTGTTTTAGTTCTATATGTATAATTAAGTATAAATAATAGCGATATAGGTATATATATACATATACATACACTATATATATATATGTTATATATATGTATATATACACTATCTGTAAATAAAACAAAAAACTTATTCCTGTATCGAAGTGCAATAATAAAATATGTTAAATTAGTGCCAAAGTAAAGCCGATGCGGAGAGAATTTGCGACACCTTTTCACTCAAACTGTACTAATAGGCATAAAAATGCGATTTAATGTAGACTGACAGAAAAATGAATTATCTGATTTTCATTCGATATCGTATCCTTCTTTTTGGGTCTATTGAATGGAACCTCTGACAATATAATGAGTATCGTTGAGCCATTCGAGAAAACACTTGAGACACTATTGTGGACGATATTTTCGAATAAAATTGAGATTCTGCACGCGTAGCGCATAAATAAGAAAAAGTAATGCGAAAACTTGCTGTTAGATTTCGAAAAAGTTAAATCGATAATCGCTCGACGGATTGCGTTGGCAAATTTTGTAAATAATTTCTGTGTACTTAAATGGTAAAAAAGCACTCAAGTATGAAAAAAAAAAGTTTCTGAAGTAACGGACGTTTACGTTTCCGTCGTGAAGTTGGATGCGTGACTGTTGCAATCGCACGAAGTAATAATGGTACGCGCAATTAGCATGACGGATGTTCACGTTCTTGATTAATTGATACTTAAATGAACTTTCAAATGACAAACAACTTCACGCCGGTAGATGATCGTTGTCGTCCGTGATATAAATATATATATATATATAGAGAGTTAAGTTTAGAGTCATCGATAATCCGCCGATCCTTGCTGGGATTGATGACGCGATTCAATGGGAAAATTTAATTTCTTTTCTTTTTCGATACCACAGGAGAACCATTAAAGTAATAAGTATTGCCTATAATCAATCCATGTCCCAGATCCACCGTATATAGCTGCCGAATTAATGTATTATAAATGTACGTGTATCTCTGTAAATAAAGGCCTATCTTATTTACAAACTTTAAAACGTGCTCTGAATAATTACGAATAAATTTGGAGTTTACGGCATTTGTTAATTAGAAAAATATTCATCACCGTCATACACAGTAACATCGTCATAGCATGGATCGATAAAACTTTGAGTATTGGAATAAGTTAGGGCTTTATAATATATACGCATTATACCAAAATGTATAATTGTATTAGCAAAATTTCACGAGTTCACGTTATTGACGTAAAGAAGTATTTCTGTAACGTACATGATGTATCGATACTGACCATGAAATTAATCATCGTGCTATTAGTTGCAACACATGTAAAGGGAGTATTTAAAAAAAATTGACATAAGTATCGACTTTCCAGAAAACATCGAACATCTAAGAAATTCAGTAAATTGGCAGAGATTCGTACTGTAATGGCAGGTAAGTGGAGTACGCCTTACGTAAATATTGTTAATGCAGCCATCGAAGATAATTAAGTTCCAAGAATTCATATCGATCTCAACCAGACGACATTTGAAAAATTCTCAAGCACGGTAGAAATCAAGAAGGAAAATTACGTATACATTATTATACAGTAACTACGTACAGCAGCAGTTTACAAACTGTTCGGATCTTATTGATCTGCTCCCGTAGCTACCGTACGTAACAGCGGCTGTCTTGTTTCTCAAGCAATAGTCTAATTACCACGAATCTTACTTATAATTATCAATCAATGACTATGGAGTTTCAGAGAGTAATGTTTACTGTGTATTCCTTCAAATCACACGATACGTTCCGTCGAACAAATTTGCAATTAAGTTTGCAACTTCAAGTCGATTGCAGATACAAAAACATTGTTTCTACTTAGCATTGCATTGTGCAAAAATTCTTGCAACATCTGCAAGAGATCTTGCGACCTCGTACCGTTGGTTCATCACTTGCTTGCTCTTTTTCTTCCACGAGAGAATACCACGTAAATGATTGAAAATGGAGTTAAGGCTGATTACTCAGATAGACTGCATACAAGTATACGTGCACAGTACTATATTTAGAAAACATGTAAAAACTATAGAATCCTTAAATGGGATGCTGAGTACTTGGGTATACAGTAGGAAACTATATGAATGCATAATACAATAGTGATTATACTAGATTGGAATTACGTACTTTTTAATCGAGTTTTCAAACGTGATTAAAATTAATATCATACCAATCACAGAGTATATTTAACTGATACGAAGATTCGAAATGCATATTAATGTTTCATTTGTGATATTGATCTTATCAGTAGACACATTGTCGCAATACTAATATTATTTTATTATGGATTAAACAGTATCGTATGTGAGTTTCAAAATATATTTCAGCCCTGTTTTTTAATATTTCTTATCAATTATTTATTATGAATTAATTGCTATTTATTTTTTACTCGTCTACGAACTCTGAGTTCCTTAGGCAATAAGCAGTTTGGCTGACGTTGCTGAAAATTTTGTATCAGCCTTTTCGCGATAATTTATTCGTCTTGCAAATCGGTCTTGTAAACATTTGCTAAACAATTATTTCCCATTACGAAATAAAGCCAAGTGTCCTCCAAGTCTGATCCATATACACGTTCACTTATACAGTCACCAGCTGGCAATTATATATCAGGGATAAATTAGTTCAGAAAATCTACGAGCAGCCATGACCGGGAATGTGTTTAACAAGGCCAAATGAAAAATGTCGAAACAGCCAATTACACTGATATAAAGAGTTCGTTCACTCCGATAACTTTTTTCCATCATTAATATCTATATATACAGGCTATAACATCACTCTTATCACCCAAGTTAAATCTAGTATCCACGGATGAGCCGCCACCACTTATGCTTTACGGTTTTATTGTTAT